TAACAGGGGTCGGTGCATTTCTTATTAAGTCGGTATGGAGAATTTGTACTCAAATTGCAAACTCTCAATCAGCAGCTCTCTCACACACCCTGCAGTGGATGGACGATTGATTATATTGTCAATTCTCTTCTCATGTATAATTTTCTAAATAGTGAAATCATGGCAAGTAAATACTGACAGCTCACGTTCTCGTCGAGCGAAGAAAGAGTTCAGAAGGTTTACGTGTTTTGTTTTAGAACGTGAAAATAAAAGCGCGTTAAGTTATCATGCGTGTCTTCTCACGTCAGCCTGGTTTATCTACCAAAAAACGTCCTGAGGATCGAATTTGTTTCTGTAAAATTATGCAACATTTACTGATATATCTACCTCCTGAAAGACAAAGCTATTTGGGAAGTTGTTGCGACAGAGAGCAAGTGGATAATTGAGGGTACTAGAAATCAGTAGCAGCTGCATGTTGGTTGTAAGAGGAAAAATTAGGCCCCGACCAAACTACGCAGGAACAATTGGAAAACGGAGTTTTCACTCTGAAAACGCATCAAATGATTTTCGTCCCCACTACGCGAAAGGAATTTAAAGACGCAACAATCACCGTTCAATTTGCAATTGGCCGGATTTGTGTTTGCAGAAAACTCGGTCGATCAGAGAAATTATATGATTATCATGACGCTAGCGTTTACGAAAAGCTACGTTTTCAAAAAGTTATTTCCGTCCACGCGAAAACGCAAAGCCAGCGTTTTCAAATTCCCCCGGTTTGAAGAGCGTTTTCGAAAAGTTTCGTTTACGCGACGGATTAGTGTGGACGGTAGGTCTAACCGGAGAAATAAAGCTCCGTTTTCAAATTCCTCCCGGGTAGTGTAGACAGAACCTAATTTGTTTAAAAGCACAAGAATCAGCGGTCATTTTGGATTCGTGTTTGAGGACGATTCAGGCAAGGAAATCACATGATTAGTATGACGCCATCCTTTTCAAAAGACTCCGTTTTCGAAATGTTTTCCGTCCACGCGAAAACGCATGGGCGGCGTTTTCAAATTCCTCCGGTTTGAAGAGCGTTTCCGAAAAGCTCTGTTTTCGTAACCGATTAAAGTGTGGACGGTAGGCCTAACCGTAGAAATAAAGCTGCGGGGCCTAAGTTATACTGAACCGAGCATATTGTAATATTCTATGACAAGAGCTAATTTACAAAAGAAATGGTCGTGTTCCCAAGCGGAGATATTAACCGTTGTTCTTCGAAAGTGGCGCTAATTTTGCTCAATACCGTGAGTTTTGCATGAAAACATTTCATCGTGACGGTTCACAATCGTTTAAAGCGACCGAGCTTGCAGAATGAAGAAAATCCGCTTGCGAGGAAAATATGCAGATTAGGTCCTTAGGCGTTTGCAACTCCAAGAGCGTTCAACATCTAAATCTTGCCGAGCAACGAGGTGACGGGAATAATGGTCAAAAAGCAATGAGGGGATCGATGACTAGGACTAATTCTCATAATTGAAATAAAAAAAAAAATTAAGGCCATCTCTTGAGAGAATTAATATCTCGAGCACGGTACTGAGTGAGTTAACAATGTCCTGGGTAATATAACATTTGATGGCACGTTTTATGTGCTTATACGAAAAAGATTCCAAGGTTCAACATCTAACTTTTACAAGTCGCCTAACAAGTAGTTCGATATAATTGAAGTATGCAAAGAGTTTGGCTCTTCATGATTTTAGAGTTTTGATAAGTTCACATCGCAGTAGCAAAAGATCGATTCTTTTTGACTGTAAAAAGACACCCCAAAATCCCCACAAAAGTAGTTGAAGTGGTTACTGTAAAAGCGCAGTAACACAGGTGCAACGAAAGCTTTTTGTAAGAAACAAACAAGTTTATTAAGACTGAAAAAGACCGATCGGACCGTGGGAACCGATCAAGTTATTCTGTACACCTGTCTCACCGGCATCATGCCAAACAAAGGTCAACAAAACGCTCGAAGCATTGACACGTGTCCCGGTTACACCCACACGTGTGCGATGAAATGATCAAGCGTTCGAAAACACGATCGCAAACGCGCCAACAATGGTCGCGTGCGCGTTCATTTGTTCGAGAAGTAAACACACCGTGGGAAAGACGGAATTTCGGCTAAAATCGCAGCAAGGATCCATTTGTGAGAGAATAAACAAAAACTGTTGCAGGTCACTTGATACACGCACCACACAAAGACCTGGCTAGCTGCGGGTCCACTTCAATGATTTTTCTTTCAAAGGTTTGGCGTAACTACAGTGAAGTGTGTTCGCTCTTTTCAAATTGCTTTGCATTTCAGCAGGCACCTTTTTATCATTAACCCTTCATCGATAACTCGATTTTCCGGGAAAAAAAGGTACGAATGAGAGGAAATTTCATGAACGCTAATTTGAGGTGAAATTAGATTGAGACGCCAAGCTCATTTTGCTCAATGTTGTTTAGCAGAGTAAATCAAGCCACGCGCTGCGCTACCACTTCGAGCAATATTTGAACTGATGTTATTTGCCATTATTCGACTGATTACCACGGGCCTGCAATCAAACAAGCGATCTCACGAGCTATTTTACTAATGTTGTGATGATCCGGTACAGCTTGTTTCGTATTTTTTCGTTGCTCTCAAATTTTAACACAGCAGCAATATAAAAGTACGTTAATTTTCCCACGGTTTGCACATTGAAACTAGATGACACCTAGTTTTCACTTTTGTTCAGCACATGGTGGTTGAATGGAGCGTCTTTTCAATTTTGAGAGACGCTATTCAATGAAAACGCCACCTGAAATCAAATTATGTCGCGGTGTCGCGGCCGCGAAAAAGCCAAATGCTCGCAGGCTTTTGCGGGTATATTGATTCTCGAAGGCGCGAAAACGGGATTGGATCAAGAAAAACAGGAACAACAGATGGCTGAAGAACAATCGCGCACCTGCCACGCGAATAAAAGGTACACAACGTTGCACGTGGCGTTAATTGTAATTGTGAAAAGCTAATTAACCTGTTCGAGCTCAGATCAAACATTCGAGGGGTTTAATTATGCCCGTTTTGATTATGCCTGCAAGTGAAAAGGGAAAGAAATTTCATACATTAAAGAAACACGCGGCAATTTTTGAGTGACTTGAGTTGCTCAATTGAACGTTGTATAAATTGTTACAAATGTGTCTTTTTTTCCCCTTTTCTCACGCGGTTTCTCATTTGTGAAGCACGACACCGTTTGTTTTGGTTTTGTGTAACTTCGTGCGGAATTTGTTTTACTGAAACAACACGAAGCCGAATTTATTCTTTTGTGTGCAGGACAAGCACTTGTCTGACCCTTAAGCAGTAAGCGAAGGTCGCAGTTTTCGTGTTGTTTATTGCTGGTGGCGCTTGGAAGATTTCTTCAAAAACCTGCTGAATTAGCTGCGGTAATAAAACAGGGCAGGAAAAAACAGGTGAGAATTAATTCACTAGAAGAGCAACAACAAAGTTTTCTTCTTAAAAAAGTTGACACGTTCACATAAAGAAGCACGCGCTAGCCGAGCATAAGATCAAACAAACCAGCTAATTCTAATTTTGTTTCCGTGTAACCTTAAATCGTATTAAGTTAGAGGAAATAATGCTGCGTCCTCGCACAAGCCACGCGTGTTTTTCATTCGAATTCTTCTCAAGTACTGAGCTGCTTGTGATATCAGCTTTAGCGTTAATTCAGAGAGAAGCCGAGTGTAAAGTCATTTCTGTGTAGGTGTCATGAATATTGTCCGTTCAGGAAAAAAAGAATACTAGTTATTCACATTGTAGCGCACGCCGTGCCGATATCAATCTCCAAGCTTTCAGAGCACGTTTGCGGTGAAATCGACACAGGAAAGGAATCCGTCTTATTTTTAAAAAAAAATGCCGTTGAAATAGCCATTTAGTTTTCAATTTTTTTGGAGCAAAGTCTATTAGTAATTTGTCTATAGTTGACGGTAGACGATAGCGTATTACTTTAACGTGTTTAAAACAAGGCCCAGCAAACAGCAAGAACAACAACAACAACAACAAAAACAAAATATTACTCTACAACATGATTGACAAGCCCAGTTCCTTTCATGATAAACATCCAACTTCTCATTACGCTATCGATAGACTTTCAAACAAACTGGTGATGAGAAGAACGAAAATAAATGACTTTTAAATTTAGCGTTTTGTTGCTGTACCTTCAAATTCTTACAACTTACATTAAGAAGAGAAGAGAAGAGCAATTTTGAGTATGAAAACTCGATCGTAGAGTTTTTGTTATCATTTTTGCATGCCATTAAAAGAGCTGATCAGTTCATATGCCTAATAACCAAAGAATATTTTATCTCGCGTTCCACGACATATTATAGTTGTTCATCATGTTTTGATAATCTTGACCAATATCGGTGAAAACTTCATCACTGAAACGAAAAAACTATTCTCCTATTTCCATTTGACAATTCTCCAGATCAAATGATCTAACTGACAGACTCAAAAAAGTCTTGCATGAATTATTTACCGCCTAAAGAAACGTTAATGGCCATTTAACGCCGTTGTATTGGTCGGTCACGCTTAGAGCTAACAAGCACCCTTAAAAATACTACAGCATGCCTGTGACATTTGTAAACCTTTTAAAATAGCTTATGTTTGGTGCATAGCTTCAGGCTAAATAGCTTTCATTATGCATAATAATACTTCACCATGCCGCTTTTTGATGTTAGACTGGTAAAAATACACTTCACTTCAAAATATAAAACTTCAGGCGACTAAACGGATAGTTGAGTCTCGAACTCTATCGGGGTAATTGAGAGTTGTCCTTTAATTCATCGGCCGCAAGAATGTATACCTGTATGACAAAATCTGACCATGCGAGCTTACTGCTCGAAGTGTAAACAAGCGTGTCGTGACTGCAAAAGAGTAGAAAGAAATCTTAACTTCCGTTTCTGACACCCAGTGTCGATTTCGAATCAGATTATGCAGTTCTAAAGTCTGTCGATGAAACCTTAGTGTGTGACCGTTAAAATGAAAGTCTGCTCATGGAGCAGGACTTTCGTGTGGATCTGTTTGTTTGGAGCAGACACTTTTCCATTCGAACGCATCGTACCGCATTGGAAATTTTATTTTAATTTCCTGGAGCCAATCCTAAAGAAACATTATCCTAGGAGACGGAGAAGATAAAGTGGTTATTTTTCCATGGCGCTACATCGTTCATTCATGATAAGATCCTAGAAAATCAACAGGAAGCTGCCAAACTCAGTTAAGACTAAAGCGTGCCGATTCAGACAATGTTGCGATACATCAGTTTCAGGTAGTGTCGTGAAGTCTCAGCAAGGTCTTTGCCTAAAATATTGGGTCAAAATAAAGGGAATAGAACTCCTTTTTGTCCTCAAGCAACCTACAAACAGCCTGTTGTTTTGAAAATCGAGTTGATTTTGCTATCAGAGCCACCTGTTATTAACATTTTTTTATGTCGTGTTTCGCCGTTAAGGCCTTTGATTCCTGATGAAGTGAATAAATGGTTTCTGTGTCACTCGCTCTTTGTTCATTTTTAACACCTGTAGAATACCCAATTCATACAAGCAGGTGAATCGAAACAACACACTCCCTGGTGGGCAAAACTTCTGAAACTTCAATTCGCGCTCTACTTCTCCAAAATAAAAGTAGAAAAGTTACTTTGCCTGCGAGTATTTCCACGAAAAAGTCTCCAATGTGTCGCGTAATTATAAGCTATTGTATTTAAATACTTTCAAGCTTTTGAAGACGTAACGCATTTCAAATGTATTTCTATTTTAGCGACGTTTTTGCTTTTAGTTTTCCTTGCTTCACTGGCATTTTTTCTTCACCCGTCAACCCATTCAATTTTATAAATGACAGCATCTTTGAAGGTTGATAGTTATGTCTGAATTTTTGTTTCTAATTTTCTGCAGTCTGACCATAGTTACTAACTACTAACTATGGTCTGACATGATCTATTTGCTTTTAAACAATGTCACACCGCAAGTGCACTTCAAGCGATATTTCAAGTTCGTGTGTGAATCGACGCATGACCAAAACACACTTATTCTTATCAACGGCTTTTTGGAGCCTTTTGTGAGCGCACGTTTTGACTACACCGCATTTAAATAAGAAAAGTGACTTGAACTCTTTATTTACTGGAGCGCAAGTTTGAAAACCCCAAAGCGTCGTAGCTAAAGACTTTGCTTTTGTTCTGTGACAGTTTGAGAAAAATCACCGCCTTAATGCCCAAAAAGGCGTCTGCATATCGTTAAGCCGTACACTCCATTGTCTGCGCGGTGGCAACGAACTCGAGGCGAAGCAGCAGGTCAGTTGGTAAAATTTTACTCTCGCTTCTCTACGCCGACTGGCTGGAATCTGAAGGGTTTTTTGGAAGATCTGGCGAGAGAACGATAGAAGAAAGGTCACAGTGCAGGGAGAACAAATTTACAGCTTCAAAAGATCCCGAAAGTTGAAATATTGGTCGCTTGAAACTGGTATAAGGTATAGTACAATTTTCCTGTTGAATTCAACGGGCACACTTTTGCTATTAATCTTGTTGTTCAGTGTCTTTCGCAGCCACGTTCAATGTTTAGTTCCAATAGATTTCGACGAAGAAATTTATTTAGCTGTGTAAATCACTTGTAACACTCTTTTTTGTCTTTGAATAGTGTGTAAAGTCTCACGCTGATAGCAATAAATCGAATGGTAGATTACGGATTTTAGCCATGCAGGATTCGCTCGAACATTCAGCAAAAAGCACGGCATCAAAAATCGTATACCATGTAAAATGACGATGTTTTATTTTGCGTGGGAAGGCCACAATGTTTGCTTAAAGATCTTCCGTGTACTTAATTATTGAACTTCATTCTTACACCTTTACTTTGATCTTTTTTGCATTTGGACACGAAAATTACCAACGCTGTTTTCTGAAGCTTCCTGCAACGAAACTAACACCTTAATGAACTTCGATTTTGGCGAATTGGGTAAAGGCTAGAAACAGCGAAGGCAATTTTCGCACACTGAAGCAACAATATTTACAAGTAAAATCTAAATATTTCTAGGTTCACCGGATTTCGCGAGCAGCGAAGCATGAAGACGAATGAAACACAATAGCAGTTTTTAAACAACTGAATTTACGTTGTGGGCAAACGGTCTTGAACAGCAGTTGTAATAACTTCGAGCAGTGTGTGTGTCATGTCGAACATAAATTAGCTATGTAGTTAAACATATGATTTTGAATCGCGGTTCTAGGTTCGCAACAACAGATCAAGAGCCTAGGAAAACAAATCTCAAAGTCGTATTTGCCAGTTTAATCGGTGAAGGTGTTACATTCAAAAGGGCATCTTGTCGTGTATGCCTTCGAAATGAGCTTGTCTTTCGCTTCAAAATCCCGTGAAATTTGTGATTTTATCCCGCAAAATGCTCAGGCTTCCCTGTATAAAGGTCTGTAAAGAACTTTTATTTTATTCGGGTATCATAAAACAACAAGATGTGTAAACATAGATGCAGATTGAATAGATTTGAAAGGAGGCTCACGAGTGTATATATCGCTAGAAGGAATCGAGAGCGGAAAGCAATACACGTATTCGTGGAGATTTCAGATATTGCTCTAATTTTAAAATTGCGTGTTGTTTAAGTACTCTTTAAGCAAAAAGTCAGTGAAATGAATCCGAAATAGAACACAATGCCAATTTCATGCCGAAAGCTCGATCTCTCAGAGAAATGACACAGTGATTAATAAGTACCTTTTATGAAGGTGAAAGTTAAATCTAGCTAGAGTCAAAACTAAAGGATATTTTTACACTTTCACAAAATAGTATTGAAGGACCTATTCTGATGTGGTTGAAATTTGTAAAATATCGGACGTTGCTATAATTTGCATGCTATTGTTGATTCTCCACTTATTTCCTCTCTTTCTGCGCTTTTATGGCCCATATTTCCTGTTTGCAAGAGGTAAGAATTAGTTTTGAAGTCTGGCGCCGGAAACCCGTTTGTAAGACATTTCCCACAGACTGCATGGCGTAGCAATGTCCATTTTTGGCGTGCAAGGAAAATACTATTTCCTTTGGTTCATTTATTTATTGGCTGGCAACACTATGTCATTTTATAGCGACTACATAAGTATGGCTCTAAAATGTTAAATTTTCCATTCTAGCTGTCGCTAGTAGACAGATCTTTTCTAGAAATTTCCGTTTAGACCTCACTGGGTTTTCACTGCATCCTTTTGAATAGAGAACATAACAAACCTCTGAGGTCAACATTTGCAAGAAGTTTACAAAGGCTAAAAAGGCCTGCAGCTGAGAATTTTCTCGGGGTGAATATTTATAATCACGCAAGACAAGTTTAAAAATGTGAATCAGCTAAGCTGATGTTTGTTTAAAAAGAAGATCATTCTTAAATTTGCTCTGTCTAAACTTTTCTTAACTTGATGCAAATTTGAAATTTAGATGAATGTCCACAACCACAACATTGAAAAATCTTTTTTCTTTGTTTCTTTTTGTTATAATGCATTCGAGAATCTCAATGCAAACGCGAAACACTGTTCGAAGTCAAAGGTATTCCTTCAGCTGCTTTCAAACTTAGACCGTCATTTGCATTTGTTTCTATATTTCTATTACATTATTGCTAATACAGTATTCATTTATACTCACTTATGTTAACACTTGAAATGGATACATCAAGTTCGGTGTCTTTTGTTCTACTCCACTTTGGTCTCTTTTTAGAACCGCTCAATACTAGGAAACATACAAGTATGTAAAGCAACACACCGTAACTAAAAGCATTACAACTTAATTAATACCTACCTTGTTGAACCAGCGCACTATCGACGAGTGATATTTGAACTGATGAAGAAGTTTCCTTTCAAAATGTCGCCATCTTGTCTCTCGCGCGCTGCGAATGAATATCAGTGCATTTATCAACCACGATTGATTTTAGCTGTGTTTCTTTCTTACGAATAAAACTCATGACCATGTTTATCCTACTTCTCTTCCGCGGCTTCTTTTATGAGGCACAAATTCCAATTTACTCGGCTCAAAACAAGGTTTTCTGATAACAATTTGTGTTCCCGCCAAAATACTTAAGTTACAAATTTAAGTGGTTCTTGTATTGAGCAACATTTCGCCGCCGCGCTTCTTTCACGGAAAAAAGAGGTACTTTGAGTATTCGAAGGAAGCGATGAGTTTTATGACTGACGATGGATACTGCAAGAGATAATTTGACGAAAGTTTCAAAATCTAGAGATTGCAGTTATGGTCTTTACTGAAACAATGAACATTACAGTGTTTGAAATATTAAGACTGGCTTTCACTTCATGTTTTCGCTGCCTTCTTTCTCATGGCCAACATTTCATAAACGACATGTGTCATGTTATATCGCATGGTGGTGAAAATCTAAAGAGGGAGATAATAAATCAAAAAGGAGCATGTGCTGGACTGAGACGGTTTACGAAAATTCGCTGGCTAATATAATGTATGTATGACGTGGCATGGCACTATAAGAAATCATATAAGAAATAGTCCAATCGCTCTTTGTTAGATACAAATAAAATGTTCTGAATTTTGATGTACTTAAGAACCAATCACAGGAAAGCACTAAGAACACTGACGAATCAGGAGTGAATGAAAAATAAGGTTATCGCAAGTGTATACAGCCAGACGAAAATTAGCACATGTGAGTTTCAAACACCTTTGTTGGTATACGCCTTGTCCATATTAGAAAAATACCGCCGACTGGTATCTCTCTCGTACATTGTGTTCAGTTTGAAGTTATTTTAGTTTTTATAATGGCTTTTCTAGCTCTCAGTTGACTTTTTATTTCTTTGAGTTGGTTATAATATTATTTTTACTCGAATATTGGCTATTTATTTTGCTATCAGTGGCTCTTTCTATTTTCAGACTATTGCCACTTGTCTGTTCTTAGCGGAGTTGACGTTTGTTTTGACTCTCAGGCCCCTTTGATTTTCCTTTCGCGCTATTTGTAAGCTTCGTTCCAAAAAGCCACCCACGTTTATTATATCTTGCTTGCGAAGCTTTTCTGTGTGTGTGGTTATTTGTCTTATCTCCTGCCTTTTCTTCAGTTTTGAATCTTGTGGTTCAAGTGATGAAGTAGATTTCCTTTTACGACCCACACAAATAATGTTATTGCACTCTCCCAGGCAGAATTGCTTATTTCCTGTCTTGTGCCGTAATGCTTGTTTTGTTTTATTCCATTTCGGAAATGGTCACCGAGTGACCTTCTCAATTCAAACAAAAGTCAGGAACTCTGTTATCACCCAGATCATACAAATGGGTCCCTTATAACTTGTTTACACAACTCACTTAAAAAAATGATATTAAATTTAGCATTCTGTTTTCTTTGAAGCGTTTTTATCGATACGTAACAATTTTTTGTCTATTCTCCTGATCACTTGAAGTCGCGGCATGTGAAAATTAGTTTGAACAGATCGGTTTGATCGTCGGCGCCATTTTGACAATGAGAGAAATTTTTGAACAATGGAGGCGCTACTTCTCAAAGTAATCATAACTGATTTCAGGAAACCGGTTTGGAGTATAAACAAAATCTATTGCTTCGTTATCTGCAAAAAGAAACACAGACGGTAGATTTTGTGAGGTTTTGGAAAGTACAGCACGAGAAGCTTACTTATTTTTCTGTCACGGATATGGCCGTGACACAATTTGTTTTGGAATTGGTAACCTGAAAATACGAAAAAAAGGCTTGTACTGTACTCTCCCGAAATTCTGTGGACTTGCAATGGGAAAGTAATCGCCATTTTGTTGTTTCCGATATACCTTAGCAGATTTCAGTAGTAAATTAAATCTATCTTATTATGGAGTACAATCGAACTTCAAAACTGGAACAAAATATTTTCTTTGTAATGCGTTCTTTCCGATAAGAATGTTTTGTTACCGGGAAAGGCGGAACCGCAACACCGTTGCTTTAAAGGCAGCCGCATCTCGAACCTCTTGTCATAAATATTGATGAGAATTAACCGCTGAGCGAGCGTTATCAATCCAAAAAAACGTTTATCTTTTTGATCTCTCACTCAAACTTGCTGGAAAGTGCCTGGTTATTTGTGCGTGGTTTGCAGCAAGAAGTTTAGTCACACTTTGAAGTTAGAGGTACAGCTCGTAAACCGGTTGTAATGATAATACAGGTTATTTATAGCTTGAATTCTAACAATGTTATATACGGTGCAGCTGTTAAAGTAACAACTGTTGTAAACAGCTTAATTCGAATTCTCAGTTTTTCCGCTAACCTGTACACCAAAAATGAAACTTGAAAACTCAGAGTGTTAGAGGTTTTGAAAACGTCGGAAGGCAGGCCATCTCAGTTCTACCTTCTACTTAGGAGACGAGCAAAATTAACGCGACACACCCATATCTTGCTTTGTTTTATATAAAATTCGTATTCCGTGAAACCGGATCTAGACGGAAACTTAGTCCGGAAACTTAGTGGCACAACCATTCTAAAATGCTGAACCACACTATCTGTGATTTAGACACCTACTTAAAATTATGGATTAAAACTTTGAAGCTATTGTTTTAATTTCCGGCGGGTATATTTATAAACATCTACCAAAAATAACCACCATATTTTTGCAGGAATTTTTGATAGCTTTTTTTTTTTTCTTTTCAGTATTCCAACTAGGATTACGGTGTATTGCGCAGAAATTAGATTATTAAACAATTAATCTTCCACTAACCGATGTACGGTCGCTACAAACATGTTCTTCGAATTCGCACACGCGCGTGTGTTTGAACAACCGCAGGAAATGCATTGTGTACTAATTAAATAGCTACAGTTTCAAGAACTGAGCCATGTGAATTGCAAGCGTTCAATAGGTTTCCACATTTACTTTAACTTACAATAGCTTTTCCGGTTTGGTAAAATACTTTAGGAGTCAAGAAAACCTAGATCTTGGCCGACTCAAGTTTGTATTTTTTTTTTATCCTTTCGACTCGAGATATTTCCATAGTAACTCTCAAGTAATCCACAAAAACGCGAACAAAATTGTTTTATGAGCTATCTTTTTGGACAGAAGAGTGGATTTGGATGAAATCGTGAAATCGTGAAATCTTGGCAATGTCCTGGTGAAAAAAGCTTCTAATGTACAGTCAGTAATTTTGCGCATTTTAGAGAGTTACTTTTTGCATAGAAGATGGTAACAGAACATAATAAATGGTATTCAGATCAGCAAACCGTACACTGCACACCGTCGTAAAATCTGGTGTCTGCTTAATGATGCTTTTGTTCTTCGCACGTACATCATTGTTGTCTTTAATCAGTTGATATAAAGAGGCTGCTAGGAAGAAAAATGCAGAGATAATTTTTAGATTTCTGTAGCAAGTTTTGTTAGTAATTATTACACTGTAAGTTAGTTACAAGTTCTTTTCTTAATCGGGATCCCTGGCGATTGTTTTGGAAAACGGGCTTACAAGATAATTAAATCGCTCTTGGAATATCTTGGAGTAAATTAAATGCGGAGATCGCAGATAAGAAAAAAACCACTTCGATTTACTCAAGGGAGTTGAGCTACAATCAAAGCCAATCTGCATGGAAACTGCCAAATGCGATTTCTTTCCTTGTACAATTGAAACAGCCTGAACGTAATTAATTTTGCACTTTCAAATGTAAACTTTGTCCGACCTTTCGGCCATGTTGGCGCGTAATGTTTGCATTTCCCCGCGAAAGACAATCGTGGCCTCATACATCAACAACAATGTATTGTTGACAATGTGTAAACATTCGCAGCCTGTAAAGTGGCACCAGAACCTCTTTCAATCAAATCCCGGCTGTTTTTGCATAAATAATGCGACGCGGTTATTAAGTAGCGTAGACGCGACGAAATCCCGAGTAAATCTTGTTTTGTTGATCATCGAACGTGGAACTCACGAGAAAGGTACGCGACGCGAGACGCCTGTGTGAATTTCAAGTCAAGCAGAGCCAAACTAGTTTCCGTTGCAGTAGATTATTAAATTCCTTGTAAAGAAGTATCGCAGCTAAGGTAACAGCGCTTGTAATCACTTCATTTGACCTGCATCTGCATCAGGGGCAAGGCTAAAGAACATCTGCTGGTTTAGCAGAGTGAAGTTTCACAAGCTTTGATTACACTGCGGTTAGACGTTGAGTGTTTTTTTTTTTTTATCGTTCCTAAACCACGAATCCGAACACTATGTTTTTTTACAGGAAACATTGAATGAATTTGACAGTGTACCGGACCGCGGGCCTGTTGTTCCAGCAGAACAAAGCGGCAAAAGTTGGATTGTGAAGTCAGGAGCTGTCATTTCGGACAGGGGTGAGTTTTCCAATGTTGTGCAGGCTAACCGCAGTTCAAAAACTACGCTGAGACCCGCTGCTTTTTTCGAAGCGCAAAATTTATATACAAAGTATACATTCTTGCGGTTGTGAACTTCATAACAGACCATTCTTTTTGTAGTGTATTTCATTCACAAAGCACAGCAAGGATAATTTGGTCCAGTGATTACTCTATACATCAAAGTTTTCTACCAGTCTTTAATTTAATAATTCGACTCCTACTCTTTACTTGAGTAAAGAGGTCCAGCGCAACAAAGCTGAACTACCTCCAAGAACAATTGTCTCGAAATTGAGCGAATCTTGCGAAGAATTATAACTCGTTCTTGTTATACACGCTCATGAATATAGAGTAACGTTTATTGAAATTCTAACGTGTACGATTAATTTGTAAAATAAATAGATAAAGTCGAAGCGAAGTTTGCAGAGGAAAGGGTCCGTAGCTGGGAGAGAGAGACATTTGTTAGCATTCTAATAGTTTTTCAGGCTGCCTTAGTGATATATTAATGCGGATATGGACTACAGATCTAACGTAAGGCAAGGTAGTCAGTTTAATACAACATTCTAGGTTGTCCTTCATTGACAATCTTTAAAGCAAGAAGTTTGGCTGCAATTGAGTTTCCAGATGATGCTTGTAGACGCAATAGATACAGTTCCCTACGTGCGAGGCAGCGCTGTTTTAAGTATTCGCTAATCGACTTAATTTATTTTACCAGCGGGAGAATTGTGCCGGTTGTCTAAACACAGATTACTACACGGAATCGAGTATTGCTTTTTAAATGTAACAGAAAGTTGGTTCATTAAATGGCCAACACGATGCTTATTTGAGCATATGCTCTGAGTGATGTGTTGAAAGATAGAACCTGCAAAACGCATAGCGCTTGAAGTTTTCAGCTAGAAAACAGCAAGCTATGTCAAAGATGCAGCGAAAATTGATTACAGAAATAGGATTTCAAGGGAATGTAACGGTTGGTGTACATCGCCTCCCTTATTCTTTACTTCCAAAGTTTATATTTTAACTTAAACCCGCGCCTCCATCTTATAACTTATCTGCCCTGGCCAGGTCAAATTCTCGAATATTTGTTTTTTCAAAGCTAGGAGTCCACAGAAACTTAAAACGTAGGGTCACTGACAGGAAATATAGACAAAGATCGAATAAAGCTGGCTCGAAAGTTGTCATCAACGAAAAGTAATTACATTGTATTATAAATACCCAAGAGGGGCAAAATGTTTATTTTGTCAAGGAGAGTTTGCTGTTTTTCACCGCCTATTGCATAAATTGCTCTACCAGGTCCCTGTTGTTTATTATTCTAAACCGCGGAGCTTGAGGGCTTTATTATTTTCGTTCACTTCCACGTCATTTTTGTGGCTTAATCTTCTTTATGAGAAACCCATTAATCCGATATCTGAATTATGACGTGTCGCGCGAAACGATGCTAGCTGACGGTTTTCCATTTCGCGCGACAAAGAATCAATTGCAGCTCACTGCAGTTCTCAGTATTAATGTTAGATAGTTGCCAGTTTATCGCATTGTTGGCATCTCTAAACGAAATTAATTTCTAAATCTCTTTCTGTTAAACATCCGGTTGCAGAATATTTGAACAAATATCTCTCCTCAATGGCGTATTGAAGCCGGCCAAATCACTACCGCATGGATGGCCACGAATGAAAGTCTATACACATGTTATCACACGGAGTGCCCAGTTATCGATAATGTAGCTTGCCGCTTTCTTTAGGCTTTCGACGTAGCTTTTTATAGAAAACGGACTTATCGCTTTTCAATTCACTTATCTTAGATTTCTGATAAGAGAATCTGCGCTATAAATAAATTAAAATGAATTATTGAGGTCGGACCGGTCGATTCTGAGATTAAGCGGTAAACTTTTTTCTTATTTATAAAAGACTATTCAGTTGTTGTTGTTTTTTTCTTCCTACGATACGATGTTTAGGATTTATTAAATTGACCTTAAAATATTTTAATTTGTGCTGAGTGCATTTCCTGCATGATTGACCACCTTCCTTTCATGGAGCGATTTTTCAGTGACCAACTCGAGCATAAAAACCGCAAAATCGCGACGTTTCTTCAGTTTGTGTATAACAAAAACCGCACTGACGAAGAAATCAAATCGTTACTAACCTTTAGCCGGTTTTCCAGGCTTTTTTTTTTTTTCGTTTAGTTCGGTGGAAACTTGTGCCTACAGCGGCCATTATAAAAGTAAAAAACACCAATTTTTGAGAAAAAAATACTGGAAAATATGGCCGTTAAACTCATGTGAGCCTGCGTTTTAACGCTAACAGAGAGCAAAGGAAATGGCAGACAACATATTCGGTGAAATGTCGAAATTGCTTTGACCTTAGGAAGGACTTAGAAATTTAATTAACGGATAACTTGAAAATTGATCGAGAAGAAATACGGAAACGATTAAGCAAACGAAGGTATATTGTGATTTTCATTTTTAAGAGGGATTAAACATATAATATGAGCAATACCAAGCCGCGACAATGATACATTTTGGAATAAATTAAGCAAATGAAACAATGGACCCACGGAAAATTCACTGTCTTCACTTGTGGCAATGTGTTTCCGATATGAAAAACCTTCGTTCAGATTTTTTGCATTGTAAGGAAAAAAATGTTAAGAAAGCCTTTGAAATCGCGCCAATACTAACATACGATATAATATTGAAGGAGATAAGAAACGCAGGAAGCTTTACTGAAAAAGTCATTAAAAAATTAACGACTTAATCTTCTCGCCAAAAAAAAAAGGTCTTGACTTAAAATTTTAAAATCCGAAATTTGAAAATAAAGGAAAAGTTATGAGCAAACTGTAACAAGAATTCCATGCTCGCTTTGCCGGAAAAAGAGCGTCTCTGTTCATAAACCGCTTATTACAAAAGGCTTTGAAGAAACAAAACCACAAAGAAAATGGCCTAGTAATTTAGGGAAAGGCTATCAAACATGTTCGCCACATTGTCGCGAAATACCTTGATGGAGGTCGCCAACAATTGATTTGTTTATTTATTTTCTATTTTTTAACTGTGCATATTTCTCACATTATTGAGAGAATTTTTGTGGTGAATAAGTCGAACCCACAAGGTGGTTCATTGTCCGCCGGGCTTTTCCGCTTTAAAAGGACGTCGCCTGCTTGCCAACTGTAAAAATACTTTTCCAAGGATCTCGTTTTAATTACTGGGAAATCAAATATTTAAACGGAAGCCACAAATCAGGTAAATCCAACCTGTAATACTGATAAATCTGCTTTTGGGATAAGCACACATTAAAGTTGTTACTGAAAAACCACAATCGACGACAAAGTCGATCCAGGGGCCAGTGTCAGTGTGGGCCGTGTGGGGAACGGTAGACCTTTGACTGCATACCAGCATTGGGTAAATCCAAACCATGTACCTCCAAATTAAACTGTAACATAACAGGCCATAATAGTGGAATTGATCATCTCATGGAAAGCATCTTGATGCAGAAAACTCATCGTTCATTAAGAACTCCGCAGTAGTGACCGAGAGTTTTGTAAAAGTATTCTCAACCTTTGTTTTGTACCTAAATAATCCATTTTATAAAGTTTAAAGTTAGGTAGTCTGAATTCTCAATTTAGGAAATTTTCATCCAGGTTGCGTCCACACAGAAATGTTAATCTTGGCCGAACGTCACATGTCGGGTACATCACAAGAGAAATAAAGGCTAGGAATGCGCAGACAGCATCATACTTCATAACCTTCATATTTGCGCCAACTCGTGAAATATCGCACTGCATTGTAAATTACATAACTGAAATAAAGAAGAATCAGTGAGTCAAACCGAAATGCATGCGTATAAGAAAAAAGGATAGAGAGAAAGAGAAATCGAGAGGGAGAGCCTTGCTAGTTTAGATTCCGAGGAACTCAAAGAATTGGGCGTTTCTCTGTTATTTCAACGCTCTCTAGCTGAGTATGATCACCACAGGACAGAAGACAACACGCACTCCTAAAAAAAGAATCGTGTCGTATTTAGTTGTATAAGGTGACCTTTCAAGTGCAAAGGGAGAGCAAATTGCAGTAATTTCAATTAGCCCGCTACGCACTCATTTCATGACATACACACTGCAGTCACTCTCTCAGTACCTCATGCTGCCGGCAGACCACAAACATAATAACGTTGACCGAAAACGCCGATTTTAATCAGATAAAAGCACGTTCCTGATCGCCATGCCCTGATTATATGGACATCTTAAAAAAGTTACAGAAAAACCGAGAAAAGAAATGACTTTAATTATATGCATGTAACGCGAGCGTCAGCGAAATTTCGATTGTAATTAATGCTAACTCGCATCCGAGATCAAAATATTTCTTCTTTTTACAGATTGTCTACCTTTTTGTTAAAATTGTCTCGATCTGCCAGTTTGGTGTGAAACAATGCTTCTTCCTAGTTTACTAATGTATGATTTTTCTCTTATTCACTTTTATTTTTACTCATTGTTGATATTTCAATGCAATCGTGGACTGCGAGATGTTAATCGTAAGAATGATTTCCAGTGAAGGTAAAGTCGGGAGGCTCGAAAAGATTAATTAATTGCTGAAATCTTACATGTGAAGGATCGTAAATTATTCTAAACAGGAACCGTAGATTATTTCAAGGTATATTATGAAAAATAATACATGTATTCCTAGCAACTGAGTTGTAATTCCGAGCTCGGTTTTCATGAAAGGTTTACATAAAAGAGTAACGTGGACCTGTGTGTGTCAAATACTGGACGCCATTACATTGAGTCTCGTCTTGTGTATTGCTGTAGTTTTCTTGAGAATTTTGTAGAGTAATCATAAATCAGTACTTATCTGTGCGATGTCTGTTTTGGCGTTGCCTCGGGCTATATTCCAGTATGACATATACGAAGTTCATTATCACACAGTTGAGGTTCATTGGCGATTATTATACGCCAAATCTCGTTCCCAGGATCTTCTCGGCGTTAAATCTATGATGCGGAACTGAACGTCACATTGGATTTTAACACCAAGATAACCTAGTGGGACGCAGTTGACAGGTCAGACGCACGCTCATAAATCATTAAGGATAGTGGTCATCACTGAGGAGTTTCACGAGCGTATGTATTTTTCGTTTTGGACCAAAACCAGCTTTGTGCATTTGCAAAATTGCGTATAACTCTGGCAAAACCAAAGACGAATGTAATCAAATCTAGCCAATCACGGCAAGCGTCATTGACGAGTTGACCAATAGGAAGTTGAGGCGGAAAATGCAACCCGAGTCAAGCGCGGGAAAACGCACTCATGCCAAGTTACGATTGGCTAGTTTAGTTTAGCTCCTGCTTGGTTCGACTAACAGCACACGCAGGGCATTTCTAACCAGTAAGATCTCTCAGCAAGCGCCATGCATTTTCAACATTCATTTGAGAACAGCCTTCACAATAACAAAGCCAGAAACGACATTCACACCCTCGCAAGGTTAAATACATTCTGCATAGTTTGGGCAAGTTAACGTTTCTAATCCAAGACAATAACAACCCATTTCCATAGATCTAAATTCCTTTTGATGAAGAAGATAAAAGGAAAAAAACAATATAAATTTATAATCACGGTCTCAGACTCCAAAAACTCACCAAGTCATTTTTGTTGTCTGACATAAGCTTTCAAGCATTTATGTCTGAGTCCTGTTAGCTTTGATCGCTATCGAAGCAGCTACATTTATAAATGGGACTATTGTTCAACGACAGACGTTTTAACCCATTTTCTGTCACGATTGCGGTGATTTCTTGTCCAAGCAGAAACTAAAAGAGGATCTAAAACCGATCAGACTCCAGAAATGTTTAGATCTTTTCGACTCTTTAACAATACCGAGATCCAGAAATTCGAAAGGATTCACAGGACGTCTGAATCGTGATTTGCATGGACCTTTTTACCCCTACATATAGCTAGTGGGAAATGTTGACCTGTCGCATCAAATCCGTTGTATTTAAACTTCTTTAGGGATTTCCGATCGCTGATGACCTATTATAGTTTTTACGAAATGTTTACACGAAACATCAGCATGATCAGTGTTATTCATTTGTTGCCTTTTAATAGACTTTCTTTAAAGAGTTCCGGCGAGGATGATCGAAAAATAAAAATAAAAATAATTAAATAATAATTCCCTGAAGTGTGGATTAACGGCTTTAGAAAAGCAACAAACATGACATGGAACTGAAAAATTTTCGAGGTATGCAAACTTAAATGGCTGTGTATCATTATCTGTCTATCTAAGCTGTAAAGTTGCCTACAAAACTATTCTGTCTTCGAGTGACGTTGTGATAAATTCTGTGACAGTAATGGGAATACTTTGACTATAATTTCAAAATGCGTAACGTAAAATGTTGGACTTTGCAATAAAAGCAACCCGGGCTTAAACTGATAAAATAGAAATCTAATACATCAACAGGGATTAATGTTAGGCCTATTTAGAAAGATGAGTCTTTAAGCTTCTCAGTGATCATATCAATCAAACAGGTGTTAAGGAATTCCAAATCGTGGGTGCAGCAATGGAGAAGGTTCTGAATCCACAAAGGTGTTTACATATTGCATCAAGAAGTGGAGCGTTACTTCCTCCATGCAGCGATTAAAAAACAAAGATTTTCTATTTCCGCTGACCTATTCCCGTGTCCTTTTTGTGTTCTTTCCAGGGCTGACGCCCGCTAGTTTTGAAATTTTCCTGTTTTAGATTACGTAATAGTGTTTCGTCTGAACAACAAACTGCCTGTATCACTGAAAAGAATGTCTTGAGGTCAGCCTTCAAAGACCTCAAAGCCAGTAACATAAATGAAACTTAACAGATATAATGTCAGTTACATAACATTCTCGCAAGCCTCGGTCCCTATCCTGGGGAATTTTTGATGCGGTCGTAATATTAGAGGCCCGAAGAAATTAGGGACAGTTTCATCGGGGTAAACCAAAAGTTCAGTTACCTTTAAAGATGGTTATTTTATAAATTCAAATTTGTAGACAATTTAATCATCTTCGATCTTGTCGACGAATAGCTTGTCACGGTTAAAACGATTATTTGCTTTAATCCGGCACGGGTTTGGCGTGTGCCCACCCTCTTGGGCAACCTTTTTTCGCCCATCTTAACCCGAATTCACTTCAGTGTCGTTATCACGAAGATTACAATAACGGCAAACGCCTCGTGACGTCATCACCGTGTTGCATGACATTCAACGACAACAAAGTTCATATACAGTAAATAAATGTTGAAGGTGTATTTGGAATACGCGGTTAAGCACAATCACCGTGGCCAGATTTTGTGGGACAACGTTGAGAGATTTTAATCTTCAAGAACCATTCAAATTCGGTTGGAACCAAGCTGCTGAGATCGGTTGCCCCCTCGCGTCCAACGGTGGTTAGTCATTGCTACTCTTTTTTTCATGTTGACTATTCTTAATTATCAAATACACTCTCTCACAAATCACTCTCTCCTTAAATGTGAATGAACGCAATGGTTGACAACAACAACAACTTGAAAAATTCATGTGCAAATGTAGGAGGGTGATAAGTGCAATGAATGGAACGGCAACTGCAACCTTGATTCAGACTCTGGGAAGTGTAGCATCGTTAATTTTCACGGCGTGGATGTAAACTGCAGGACATAACAGGAGAATAGAAGTCGGTGTTTTCGCGACAAATACCATTTTCTTAAAGAGGGCGTTCTCTTAAGGAAAACATAGCGATCATTGCAGCCTCGATTTGTCGCAGGTTTTGCGCTATAATCCGCTAAAAAAAAACAACGACAACAAAACGAGGAAAAAAGAAAACGAAATACGTGCGTAGAGAAGAGGGTATCTGTTTTTAATAGTTTAAGGTCATGTCCTCGGAGTTGATATCTTGAAACAGCAAGAGCCTTCGGAAATGTTCCAAGGACTTTTTTGGCTTGGGAGTAAATCTTTTCATCTGTAAAATAGGGAATTAATCTACCATTATACTGCCGCCAAAAAGAACCAGTTAAAATTCTCATGAGTACAAAAAGGACTGAGGAAAACAAAGAGAAGAAAGATTGCCTTTAGAAATGAATGAAAGAATGTGAAAAACAGGTCAGGGAGGTCACCACAAGACACTGTGACGAATTGTAAGCTAATTTGTTCTATGAAAATTGTTACATGGATATCTTGAGAGCAAGAACAAAACACAACAAAACGTGCATCGTTTTTGCAGCTGTTTGTTTTTGGTAGCTTCTGCGACATGGTAAAAACAAGAATTATTTTTCCACTTTTGCATACTCTATTTCAAATTCTGTTGACTGGCGACCACATGCGCACGAACTCACTGAAACTCCATTGTGTGTCACTACAGGCTAGGGACGTACTACGTGTAAAGTCTTTGACGCCGACATGTGAGCAAAACCTGCCGGCGGGTAAATAGAAAGCTAAACAATTCAATCTGCCTTTGAATTCCTAGGCGCGAACAGGTGGAAACTTTCAGGTGGTCTAAACGATATTTTTTTTTTTCCAAAAGGAATGCTCTAAGTTATAAGGGTCCCTTTCTGATTGTTTTGTGACTGGATTTACGGGCATCGAGACAGATGACAAATCAACTCAGACAAGAATAAGATTCTTCTATTAAAAACTTAATTAAGATATGATAATCAGTAGTTAATTAGGTTAATTGGAACTTGCTTCAATTTCAATTTGTGAGAGACTCTCTTAAAACCCGCGCATGAAGTAATGCAAGCTACACTTAAGCAGACTCGACGAACAACTTTTATCAGAAACACGCCATACAACGATATGAAAGATTCTTTTTGTCTTCAAAACAGCAAACCCCATCGCGTGAGGTTCCGCACGAGACAGTCAGTGGATTTTGTTTTGCCAACTGATAAAGATCATAGATTAGAAGCAAGTGCTGTTAAGGAGATGATAACATCTGCACGGAAGAAATAACACATACACTGAAAGTACAACCAAAGTGACAAAGACATTTGATCAGCGACTAGCCATAACTACATTCTTTTGTCATGAATGTTTACAGTACTGTTTCACTTCGTAGAAATCTTGTGTTTGGTTAGAAACAGTTGCGATATGAGTTGCTAGTGTACCATAAGCACGTATTCTAAGCAATTTCGAAATACAGTAAATAACGTTCCTAGTGATATCTTTGATGTGGTAGACTGTAAGCATAAAGACTCTTCTCAGCTTGCAATAGCTTTACGTTTTGAAATACAGACAAATTTGTGCTACAAAAAAAGATCACCATGGTTTGAGTTCGAATTGATGCAAAGAAACCAGAAGATTTTTTTTTTAACAACGACAAGACTGAAATTCTTTGATTAATATCAGCCCTAAATGTTATAGAGCTGGTATATGTTGGTTAACACGTTTCACTATGATTTATTACACTTTAAAACCTTTTTTGAAATTGGAGGTTTAGACTTTCTAAAATAGTGCTCCTAAACAACTTAATGCAAGAGTTTAAACAAGGTTTTCATCTCGATTTTGACGTAATTACAGCCGTATCAAGAGAACGTGACTGTACAAAGCTGTCCTAAAAATATCACTGCTCATAGTAAGATAAGTATTACCGGTCTATTTTGAGATCAAAGAACTAAAAAGGCGTTACGGGTGTACTGTAATCTTGATAAACAGTTGACAACTTTAGCGGATGGATTCACATTGTGGGCGGCTGGAAAAAATAACTTTTGAGCTGCTATGTCGACGCCAATAATGCAAAGCAACTAAGGCTTTGATAGGAATTAAGGTTGTCAGGAGCCCTCAAGTTTGCTTTGCCATCTTACTCTTTCGTCTCTCAAACAGGTACGTTTTTCAAAACTACGCCGTAGGAATTTGAAAACGCAGCTTTATTTCTACGGTTAGGCCTACCGTCCAGACTAATCCGCCACGAAAACGCAGCTTTTCGAAAACGCTCTTCAAACCGGAGGAATTTAACGTCAGCTTTTCGTTTTCGTGTGGACGGAAAACATTTTGAAAACGGAGCTTTCCAAAAACTATGCCATCACGATAATCATGTGATTTCCTTGACTGAGTTTAACTCAAACACAAATCTAAAATGACCGGTAATTATCGCGTCGTGAAATTCCTCCGGCGTAGTGTTAACGGCAACATCTGATGCGTTTTCAGAAACCTCCGTTTTCAAATTCCTTCGGCGTAATGTGGACGTCGGGGCCTTGGAAATTACAACAGCACCTCTTTTTTGCAGTTTGACACTTTTGACATGTGTAGCTCAGTGGAAATTTGTTGTCAATTTTCGGCAATTCAATTATCGTGTTATCTTCGCGAGTCAGCCGCATCGGCTTCAGTTTCTGTTATTCTTCTTTTAAAGAAAAACATTCATCTCGTGAATGGGAGTTTCGTTAATGCGGTTTGTGACGCTTGCATGTACAAACAACCAGAACAGGTAAGGTATACTGGGTCAAGTGATGAATAATGGTGTAAAGAATAGACCGTTCTGTTACAAGGACACTCCGAATTTATAGTAATGTGGGACGGTAATCCACCTTTTAATTCAACGCACATGTGTGCACACAAACACATTCAGAAGCATTGAATGGAAGCAAGGACTCGAAGGCTGGGTTCCCGCGAAGGAAATATTTGTTAAAAGCCACACTTCGGTTTTTCCAATAGATGTCACATTCTGTGTTAAGTTACTCTTTGTCGATCTTAGCCAAGAAATCACGGTTTTGGACTATAAATACTTGATTAGTAAGGTGTTTATTTAATTAGGGGAGTCAATCTCGGCATAGCTCTAAATTTAGCAACTTTATTTATTCACACCTGGGATTACGTGTAAAAACTTCGATGCATTTTTAGTGGTAACACAAACGTCAAAAGTTTGAAAATCATTTTTGTTCCACAAACCACAATTGTCGGAATGAATAACGCCTACACAAATGCAACTTTTCATACAGCTATGCCACATCAATTGAAAAACGTACAGTTTTGAAATGAAGTGGCACTGTACACTTCTGCCACCAGGGCCACGGAGAGTCGTATCATCAAGCATGTTCATTTGTGAGCCCTCGGTTTTTGATAGGAAAGAAATACTGACGTGACATCTTTTAAACTGCTTGTGCTGTAGAGCGATTTCACGGCAGCCATGTTCAGTAGTGTTTCTAAACAATAAGAAATGTTTGCCTATGAAAAGAACTCATTTCCCAATGGACAAAAAGTACATTGATTAGGGCACCAACATGGCCGCCGTGACGTCATGTGAAAACTCCCTATTCGGACTGGACAACATCCATAAAAAATTATCAGTAGTACATGCGGTTTTTTCCTCTAAGAAATGAATCACATAAACTCGTCTGTTATGTATAAATAATGAGCGATGCGAAGAATACATTAGCCCTTCTTCCCAGTGCAATGGTGAAATCGTCTAGATCGCTAAATTTGTTTCAATTTCAGGCGAATTCTCGTTTTTATACATTTTGTCTTATTTTGTGCAGCATAGTACAGAAATTCAGGACTCAATTAGGACAGATTTACTTTATTTTTCCTAAACTAACTTTTGCATTGTGAATAGAAAATCGAAATCGAGACCATTCAAACAAAAGCCAACAGGGATCTCAATCTTACAATGTCCTAACTGGAATTTAGCGGTATTTATTAAAAGGTTATCACAAATTTCCAGAATGTGTACCGGGATAAAACGTAGTAACTGGATAGACTTTGTTGTTGTCGTTAAAGACCTGCTGGCCGCCATTTGTCGCACTCTTAATTATTTTCAGCTTTCTCGTGACAATCGCATTGCTTATGAACCTGTTAACGATATTGGCCTGATGTAGGCAGCTGGCAACAAACTTATTGGCTTTGGGCGGTAACATATCCATATCTCCTCTTAGTATAAACACAGTATTATACACTTGGGTGATAAATCTCGTATTTCACACACTCGTAAACTAAGCTATCCAAGCATCACGAAAAACTAGGAACATTTATCGAGAGTGACTTTCTAGCATTTCTACTCTTCACGATAAAAATCGAATCTTGACGATCGAAAAACGCGGGAATCTGGTTTAATAATTCACCAAGGAGTCTTTCAATCTGCTTATCAACTCGTTATCAGCTTGGTATGACTTATTAACGTCACTCTTATTCCCTCATTATCTGTCATGATCTCACGCGATTGTCTTAGAGTTGTGCATTTAATGGTTCTTTCTTGGTTTTGTTTGCAAACAGATCGCAACTCCGCCAGAAAAAACACACGCAAGATGAAGATCGGTGTGGTTGCTTCTCTGGTGTTTGCGGCATGTATGTCTTCTTGTTTGGCGTTCGACTGCCCGAGACAGTGCACTTGTGGCGAGACTATTCGATGCAGGGTACAGGACTTGACGATCTTGAAGAAAATTTTACCAGCAAACATCACACGGCTGTAAGTATAGACAAAACGTCTTTGCGCGTATCACACAGGGTGATCAATCTTCTGATATAATGCGGATATGCTGTAGCTTAGAACACCACTAATGCGGCCTGAATCGTCAACATGCAAAGCGAATTTGTGAAGGTTTTGGGTAATTTAAATGCAACAACTGAACAGAATTCATTTTTTCCTGTAGCGTATTTGCTAGTGACACTATTTAGACGAATGTTCCAGGAGAATCAATGACAAATAAATCATAGTAGGAAACGTTGCATAAAACACAGCGTTTTCCATAATCCGGATTCAGTTAAATATCTCGAAGACAAGGAAAACCGAATTGAAGTCTATTGTTACAGTTGGAAAGTAAAAGAAAGAGTTTTTGTGTGTTATTCGACAGTCAGGTCATCTTTTAGAACCTCGCAGATGTGACCTTATGAATAAACAGTGGAGAAATCTTTTTATCTTTCCAATGTTTTAGTAGGTCAGGCGGGCGCTGGTGGGTGGCCAAACTTGAAACATATGAATGATCAAGGCAGATTATTAGCAACAAAATATGTTTATAACGAAGAAACCCGAGCTTTCTTAAGTAACTAAATCTTTGCAATCCGGAATAAAAGGGATAAACAGCCAAAGTTGGCCGTCAGTATCATTTATGGAGTATAAATAAGCGGTAAGCAGTTTTACTTTAGGAGATTTCTCTGTGATAAAGCGATAGCGAAAGTTAAGCGTGGGTCGTACATTTCTTTAGTTGCAGTGAAAAAAAATAACAAAAACAAAAAACCTCTCAAGCCCCATCAAAATGTTGTGCTGCAAACGATGTTATTACAGGCGAATTGTTAATCAAATTATCAGTTCCGTTTTGCATGAGACAAAACCTTGGATGAGATTCAACATTGCCGTAGAAGATTTTGATGACTTTGAGTGTGACCTGTTTAATGTTGTTCTCGTTCAAGATTACTGAACTCTGCCAAATAAATAAACAAAAGGAGATCAAAGGCTTGATTAATGAGCCAGTTTACCTTATGTCTTTACGAAACTGAGCTTATCCGACAGTGCAATAATATTTGTATAAGACTGTACATTTTTACTTCGTTCCTGATCGTTGGAACTTCGTGAAAACTTGCACCGCTCAGAAACTCGGAAGAAAACACTGATTTGTATTCAAACAAACTTACACAAACACAGTCCCTCAGTAAACCGATAAACTATATTTCGAATTGGGTCATTCGTGTTTTAAAAGTCTCTTTTTCGATGAACCGGCTAGACACTATTTAACAAGTTGTTTCGCCAAGATATTCCACGAATGTCTTGTTTAAATGCTCCTTGCTGTCTGTTTTAACTTAAGTGGAGTTAGGCTGGCATGGTATTGAAATGAACTATCAATGTTGAAAGTGGTATTTGTGGATCTGGCGAAAGAAATGAAACAACTAGAAAAAATATACTACTTGAAGAAATACTTGAGAGTTTGCCAACTTAACGATCTTATGAATATCAAGTTTCACTCAATTCTACGCTCGTTACAAATTTGAGATCAAAGTGTTTCGATAATTGGTCATTTTCCAGTATTGTAAACATGCTCTCTATTTGATTGCAGTGTCCTAATTTAACAGCTTGTTTTGTTCTTCTTGTAGTGATTTATCGTCTCACGACATACGCCAAATTCCGCCAGGAACGTTTGAGAACTTCACTTCTCTTCGATACTTGTGAGTATTAAAATGTTTGCATTTCGACTGCCTGGCGTTTTAAACTCTTACGTTATTTCGAGTAGCCAGTACCCTTATCATTTTTGCTTTGATATGATAACACTATACACTTAATCACCCGTGGAAAACAATTTGTTAGTCAGAGACGAAGTCTCGGGAAACATCGAGATTCGAGGGAAAATAAAACTGTTTCCCAAGGGACCAGTGATCCACTGTTTTGTTATATAGCTGGAGTTTAGTGTAAAGTTGTAAGTCAAGAAGAAGTCAAAGTAATCTATGGTAAGTGGGAGAGCGGGTTAACCAATGGGAGCGCGCGTGAGATTCAACTAGACTCTGTAAATTGCTCTTCTCTTTCAACTCTGGGGTGAAATAAAGTTTTGTTGTTGTTTTGCGTTTAGCTTTCTCCATCATCATCAAATCAGGCCAACCTTTACCAGCGAAATGTTTGAGTGTAATTTGTTTTAGCACGATTTCGAGAGGTTCTCAGAACCTTTGAAAATTTGCCTATAATATCATTAGAAACCCAATTATTCTGGATTGATTTTCAAAAACAGTTCTCAAGAAATGTTATTAAGAACCTATTAGAAAGTTAGCGTGCATTTTCAAACTAATGTGGCTTCAGTTAAGTGAAGCTTGGTCAAAAATAGTGTTATCGTAACATAAACAATATTTTCTTATCGAAGGGAAAATTTGCTGCAATTATAAGCTTAGGGAATTCCCGATAAAAGTGTTGAATTAACGTAATGCGTTTGTTTTGTGCATTGCAGATCTCTTGCAAACAACTCTATCAGATTTCTTACGAGGCAATCCTTCCGTGGACTTCGAAACCTACGAGAATTGTATGTATTTATAGATACTTAAGTTGTTTATTATAATTTTAACACGATCACAATTTTATCATTCTCATTTTTGGTCTACATTCTGTGCAAGTACAAGAGTAAATGCTTGATTTCCAAAAGCGATCATAAACCTTTGTCTTTTCAAACTGTCAGTTTTATTTTTTTATTTTTCCTCGCAGGAATCTGAAAAACAATGGGCAACTAAAATTAGATGAAGACGTTTTCGACAGTCTCCCCTCTCTACGGATAATCGGCTTGGATGGAAATAATCTGAAAAATCTTCCTGAAGGACTTCTCAACAGATCACACACTGTCAATGTGTCAATTGACAGACAACAGGAAAATGTCCATTGCGACTTCAGCAAAAAACCCAGAGAGCAGTGTTTGGAGAGCGATTATCCCGTCTGTAGCGAGGCTATGGACATGAAAGAAGATGTAGTCAAGCTGTCGCCTTATCCGAAACATTCTTGCGTGCTTGCAAGCTGCGAAAACAAGCAAAAGAAGGTGAAAGTAATTTGTGTGGCTTCGAAATCGTTTGCCAATAATACGTGTTGGCCAGGAATGATCGGAGACAACACGGGCGTCAAGCTTGCCTTGTGGACGTTCGGGCTTCTCGCCGTTGCTTCAAATCTCCTCGTCTTATTAACTTTACTATGCAACAGTGTAGTTCGCCGAGCTCCTCTGTGCATTTTCGTCATGAATTTACTGTTGGGAAACATTTTAATCGGCACACACATTGTCATAGTAACTGTTTCAGACACTGTTACATACGGGGACTCGTCCGAGTGCCATCAAGAACTATGGGAAGCCAAATTGTGTGTACCGCTGTTCATCATCAAGTACATCGGGCTCATGGTGGTTGTGCTGTCGCTTGTTCTCGTCACAGTGGAGAGGTTTTTGGTTGTTATAGTGAAATCACCGCGTTATATTGACACGTGCAGAGCAGTGGGTTACGTATTCGAGAGTTGGATATTCGCAACTATTGCCACAGTTGTATTGTGGACTAAAGCGGGAAACTGGGGCTATCTTTGTTCCACGTTCGCTAGTGGCCAATCCTTCACAGACATTGACAGAGGAATAAATTTATCACTCGTGGCCGTCTGTGTAGTACTCATATGTTTACACGCGTTCATGATATGTCGAACTAAACTCAAAGATCGCGTAGTTGCAGTGACTGTGGACTACAGAAACACCGTTCGCATGTTTCTTCTAGTTTTATCTACGTTCTTTACGTGGGCAATTCCGTACATGTTGTTGCTTTTCACCGTGCCGCGAATAATACCTGAAACAGATGCGATGCAGACCATGGCAATCTCGTTATCTTTAAATGCTTGCTTACACACATTCTTATACGCTTTTGATAACGACCATTTGGAGAATCTCTACAGCGCTTTGTCCTGTAGGAAAGAAGAACAGAAAGAGGACATCTTATCGACTGATAAAAGGAAAGAAGCTGACAAGGATTTAGAAATGGGCCCTTTGCCTACCAAGAAATCACTGGAGTCATTGTCGGCTGTGAAAGTGACTAGTCCACAAGGACAAGACACTTGTATGAGAGTTTTACCAGTCACTGAGCTAAAACATGGAGTGCAGCAACAAAGAAGAGGATCAGAACTTTCTAAAGCCGAGGGCGCCGTTATAATCACAAATAAATCTCCCACTAACTCTCGACACGGAGAAGCCATTGTTTTCTTACATTCAGCTCCATCGTCACCGAGCACTTCTAGAGGCGTCCGAGTACACGAAGAAGGCGTCAGCGAGTGCGGTACGATTTCATCTGACACTAATGTCACATGGTTGAGCAGTGAGTGCCCAAGCGTGTCTCCAAGCTCCCCGAATGCGCTTTTGAAAATCAATGACGGAAATTCGACAATTTCTAGTGAAATTTCCTCAATTACGCCGAGTAAATCTCCTTCAAACCCTGGCAGTCTACAACACCCTAAAAGAAGGCCCAACTCTGTAGAGAAAGACGCAAAGCGACACAGGCTATCGAAGGGAGGAACAGGCACTTTATTAGATCAGTGCGATGCCGAGGAAATAAAAGGCGAAATTAGCAAAGATGAAAATCAAAACACGAAACGAGATCGGAGAATGAGCCCCGTCCGTGATATCATTGTTCGGGTTCTTTCACCGAAACTTAAAAAGAGGCCGAAGACTCTCGATGGAGTTCCGACGAACGAATCCAAAGCCGAAGAGCGACCCCCTTACAAAAGGACTAAATCGCTCTTAGAAGGAAAAGAAGCCGAAGATTTGAACGGCAACCTCGACAGCAGGAATCCTCTAAGACCGCTTTCGCCTGTGCGTCTTCGGAACAAAAAGGCCAAGGAACGCTCCAAAGACAAACGTAACGGCGTCTTGGTATTTCGCGCCGGGTCGGACGGTTTAGAAATTCACGAGGGCGTTACGTCACCAACTTCGTCGAGGGCCGCAATGTGTGCGGAGCAAACAGAAAAAGACGGACCCAGCTCTCCTAAGTCTGCTAATAAAGCGACGGACTGGGAGAGACTGGCGACTTTTTTAGTCATCAAACCAGTTGCTCCGAAATCTAAAATTAAAATTAACGATAAAGATAAAAAGAAAGCAAGACACAGTCTGCCAGAGACGGCACTGAAGACGCCAGAAAGGGTCAGAATTTATGAGAATCCGGCGATAAGTTTGGAAAGCGACCCAGCGTCACCCACTTCTGAAACCAGATGTACGTCACCCCAATCTCCAAGCAAACGCCTCGCAAAGCTTGAGGAGGGTGATAAACTCACCGACTTACCGACTGGACTAAAGCAGAAGAATCGTATTAGCACCGCTTCTACTGTTTCACGCGTATCGAAATCAAGCTTAGAATGGGACCCTTCCTGCGCTTATGAATACGGCGATGAAGAAGTCATGCCTCCGCCGCCACCCCCACCCCCTCAACCAATTCCCGACCTACCCCCAACACCTCAACCGAGTCCCGGGCCCGAGAGAAAGGCAGACTCCGCTGACCATGTGGAATGCGTTCAAGTCAGACTTGACCCAGCTAATCGATACAGCCTCGAGTGGGATCCGACTGGTGTGCAAATGAGGCTGAGTGTTATTTCGCAGGACTCCACAGCAGACGGCGGTAAAAACACTACCTCTTCACGACAGAAATCGGAACCAGAACCAGAATACGTATAGAGCGGTTTTCACTTGAGTGTCGAAAGTAATTCACATTCGTATTGGTGTTGCGTTACTATGCTTAGCGATTGGTTTAAAGAGCTCGCACCACATTTCAACCAATGAAACGCTAAACCACACCCAATCGTGACTTGCCCGCATGCGTTTTCCTGCGCTTCGCGCCAGCTTCATGTATCTGCTTAAAGTTTTGATTGGCTCACTAGATTGTCCTTGGTGACTGGCTTAAGTGATAACTTTGGTTTTGGCTTTACGGCACTCAATTGAAGACCGCTCTAATGAACCGTTATTGGGAAAAAAGAGCACACAATAGATAATAGATAATAGATTATGACATAGTTAATAGAGGGGAATGGTTATGAAACTCGACAAAGTTCTTACTTGTATGTTTTCGTTTGGTTTTTCGGTCTTAACCGTACACAAAACACAATAGTTTGTTTACTACTGATCGAGGAACTAACCAGGTTTGGTTACGTAACTCATGCATCATTGTATGAGCGCAAAACAAAAGATTGTGCACGGTCGTGGACCGTCTAACATAAATCTTGGCATCTTTGTTTGCTCCTTTGATGTTCGCCGGGCTTCATATGATTATGATAAAGGAAGGTGCTCTGTCATTCGGTACAATTATTTTGAGAAGCTGAGGAAACTTAGCTCGATCACAGGCGACCCAACAATAATTCTTTCATTTTGTAGTGGCGTGAATGGCAAGAAATAGGAAGCCATTTGGAAGTGATCTCGAGTAACAATAGCCATACAATTGCCTAACGT